TGCTATCTGTCACTTCCCTGACAGCTCGAGAACACGCAGAAGAGTTTCCCTCTCTCGATCAGCGGTGCTCCCTTCAGTACATCCCCCGTCCCCTAGTAAAACACTCCCCCTCACTCCGATAACCCTTCCCTGCAAAATAAAACTTAACCCCTTCCTCCCCAGTGCCATTAGTACAGTGTCAGTGTTTTTTTTTTTTTTTTTTTGCACTGATCACTGTATTGGTGTCACTGGGGATGTCAGTGACCCCAAGTCAGTACCCCCCCCAATGTCAGAATGTCCGCCGCAGTCCCACAGTCCTGCCATAAAGTCGCTGATTGCCGCCATAAAGTCGCTGATCGCCGCCATTTTTTTAGTATTAAAAAAAACCTAAAAATCCCAGTATCTTTCCCGCCATTTGTAAATGCTATAACTTTCACGTAAACCAATTTAATTTACACGTATTGGGTTTTTTTTTCACCAAAGACATGTTGCAGAATGCATTTTTGGCAGAAATTTATGACTAAATTTGATTTTTTACATTTTTTTTTTTTTTTTTTTTTTTTTTTTTTTGTGTCCCCCACTGAACATGTTTTATAGCAAAAAGTCCAAAATATTGTTGTTTTTTTTTTCCTCAAAACTGTCAGCCTTTTTTTTTTTTATAGCGCAAAAAATAAAAAACCGCACAGGCGATCAAATACCACCGAAAGAAAGCTCAATTTGTGGGGGAAAAAAAGGATGTAAATTTCATTTATGTACCATATTGCATGACCGTGCAATTGTCCGTTAAACTAGCACAGCGCTGTATAGCAAAAAAAATGGCGTAAGTTGCAGTATCTATACCATAGTTTGTAGACGCTATAACGTTCACAAAAAGCAATCAATATACACGTATTGGGATTTTTTTTCTGGTTTCACCAAAAACTTGTAGCAGAATACATTTTGGCCTAAATTTATAACCAACTTTGAGTTTACTATATATTTTTTATAGCTGAAAGTAAACAATTATTGTTTTTCTTCAAAATTTTTGGCCTTTTTTTTGTTTATAACGTGAAAAATAAAAAGCGCACAGATGATCAAATACCACCGAAAGAAAGCTCTATTTGTGTGAAAAAAAGGACGTAAATTTCGTTTGGGTGCAGCATTGCATGACCGCGCAATTATCAGTTGAATTAGTGCAGCACCGAGTAGCAAAAAGAGGCCTGGTCATGAAGGAGTAAATCCTCTGGAGGTCAAGTGGTTAAAGTGTCACGTTCACCAAGAATAAAGCTTGCTCTGAGCCAGTATTCAGAAAGCAAATCCAAACATTTCTGTGCACCCCCTCAACCCAAACTGCTGAATAAATATCTGAATGATATTAAAAAACATTATATACAACATAGTGTTACTCAAAAATAAATATATTAAAAAAATTCATAACATAACAAATAATCTTTGCAAATAAAAAATGCATTGCAGTGCGTAGATTATTATTGTGTGAATTATTCATTACCGTACTTTTTTTTTTTTTTTTTTTTGTGGATAGTGCTGTATGTTGCATATAAAGCATATCAGCCAGTATTTGGTAACTTTGTTATACTATTACAGCAGTAAAACAACACAAACCTTGTTTCCTCTTTTGTTTCCACTTACTATAAATATTGCCTTCTTAGGGATCATGTACGCTGCAGATGCTAAACTGATGTTCAGGAGCTGTTTCAGTGTGTTTGTGTTTTTTTTTTTTTTTTTTTTTTTTTTTCCAGCAGCCCCTGAACTCTCCCCTAATGTTTTCCTGTGTCCATGTACACATAGTTGTTTACAGGCAGTTGAGTTTTAGTCGTGTTTTTTTTTTTTGTTTTGTTTTTAATGCATCAAACTTGCGTTCAGGAGTAGATTTTACCAGTGTTTCCAACTCCAAACGCTTCTAAACGCAGTTTAACCGTGGTTTTTATAAGCATTTTGCATTTAGAAGCATCTTTTAACTGTTCCATATCCAGACGCTGTCCAGAGCCTTTTTTCATCACCAGAAATGCATGCAAACATTTTCCAAGTATTTTTGGAAAGGTTCAAAACATAAACGCGGTATGCAAACACTGACGTTTTTTAACCTATGTTTTCCAGCAGTCCATCATTCAGAAGAGTTTTCCAAACGCCCCATGTACATGAGCCCTTAAAGTGGAGTTTCCACTCAAAAGTGGAAGCTCTGAATATTTGCCTCCTCCCCCTCCACTGCCATATTTGGCACCTTTTGGGGGGGGAGCAAATACCTGGTTTTGACAGGTGCCCACTCCCACTTCTGGCTCGGTTCACCGTGGCAAAGTGAGACAGAAATTTAGCTCCCTCCTTCCTCCCACAGTCTCCTGGGAACTTGCACAGGTCCCAGAAGAGTGCAAAAACAATCAGGAGGCGCACGTGACTTGCACGTGCGCAGCAGTGGGCACCAGGCTGTGAAGTCGCAAGCTGTCACAGCCTGGTGCCCACAGTTGAGATGCCCGGCACAGTGGAGGAGATGAGGAGATAAGGGACTGCATGGGGTGAGCCACATCGCTTGGACCCTGGGACAGGTAAGTGTGTGTTTTTATTAAACGTCAGCATCTACAAAAACTATAGCTGCTGACTTTTTAATAAACACAAAAAATGTCTGGTACTCCGGTTTAACATTGTGTGTATCTTAAGAAGCCCATTCGCACTTGTGCAACTTGTCATGCGATTTAGGGGTCCAAAGTCGCATGACAAGTCGCACCCCATGTTACCCAATGAGTACCATTCATATCTATGGACTTCAAATCACAGCGATTTGAAAGTAGTTCCTGCACTACTTTGGTCCGACTTTCATATGACTTGAGGGTCATAGAAAATTGCATGATTTTGAAGTTGCACAAGTGTGAATGGAACCTTACTATGAGAAGTTGATTACTATCTTAAACCGCTTATAATGCATGGTAATAACAAGGCACACTGGGTGATTTATGATCGTAGGAAGATTCAATGGATAGATGCAATTTATAGGCAAAAATAAGAAAACAAGGGCACAGTTAACACACAGAAGTTCACATATTGGATACGATGTTGATCCTAAGTCATTCAATGTCGCACATTATTATTTTTTTACATATGATGCTAAATTTGTTAATGTTCCATAGTGAGTCTGCTTGAAAAAAGTTCAACCAATAGAAGGGAAAAAAAATGATATACAATACAATGTAGTCATTTTGAATTATTCTCTGGTGTCCACCAGAAGCAGACGTAAGCATTCATAACTACATGCAGAATTCTATGTAACAGAAATTTTGATAGTTGTCAACTCCGTGATTTTCCACTACTGATTCTTTGTCTCAGCTATGTGAATGTAAAGTGTTTTTTTTTTTTAAAAATGCAATCAGAATGTATCACACCCAATACAATTACATGCTAGTTTTCATAGTAAATTAAAACTGAACTCCAAGCAGATAAAAAATACCAATTAATGTAGTTACGCAATAATTAAAAGTCATTACATGTATATTAATGGAGTTAATGTTTACTGTAACAGTATAAATTAGACCAAGCCAAAGAAAGGCAGCAGTAGGGGTCCATCAGGTTCTGCTGCAGTGCACTGGTGCTGACAGGGAACATGCTGACAGGAGGAAAGAGCTGTGAGCACTGATGAGCGTAGCTCCCAACTGTGCTTCTTATAATATGGTTCTAAAGCCTTAAAGTGGAGTTCCACTCACCCTGTCAAAAAATAAGTCCGCAGCTACAAAAACTGTAGCTGCTGACTTTTTAAACAGCCACTTACCTGTCCCTCAGTCCTGCAGTGTGTCTCCTGCAGCCAGTTTCACTGGCTGTCCTGTATTCCAGGAGGCCGGCATCTTCAGTGTGGGCCCCCGGCTGTCACTGCTTGTGGCTTCACAGCCGGGTACCCACTGCGCATGCGCGAGTAGTGCTGCTCTTCATGAATGGCCCTGTAGTCTTCTGGGGCCTGTAAAGTGGGAGCAGGTACCTGTCAAATTCGGGTACCCGCTCCCCCCCTCGCCCCCCAAAGGTGCTCAATCCTTAATGGGGAGCGGAGGAGAGGTACTTAGAGCTCCACCCAAAAAGGGGAAGTTCTGCTTTGTTTTAAGGTTTTTCACCTTAATGCATTCTATGCATTAAGGTAGAAAACCTTCTGTGCTGCACAATCCCCCCAGCCAGGGGCGGACTGACCATTCGAGCACTTGGGCGCTGCCCGAGGGCCCAGAATCAGTAGGGGGGCCCCAAGAGATGCCCCTGGTACCTTTTTCATTGGCTTTTTCATAGGCTTTTTTGGGTGTGGGCGATGACACCAGGGGCCCCATGATCCCCTATTGCCTGGGGGCCCCATGAGTTGTCAGTCTGCCCCTGCTCCCAGCCGCCCCTTATTCTTGCCTGATCCGATAGAGCGCTGTGCATGAGAGCAACAGCTCTAGCCTCGGTATCCCTCCTCCTTTGACAGATTGAAAGTAGCCGAAGCCATTGGCACCCACTGCTGTCAATCAAATGTGCTGAGGGAGCAGCGGTGGGCCAAGCCGCCCACTTTTTGTCAATGGACGCAGACAGGGCGGCTTGGGAGCGAGCATGCTCAAGTGCCCCCATGGAAAGCAGCTTTCCATGGGGGCACCCGCCGAAGAGGGGCCAAGGAGCACTGAGGTGAACCCAAGAAGAGGTCTGGGGCTGCTCTGGAGCAAGTAAGTATGCCATGTTTGTTATGTTAATTAACCACTTGCCTACCGGGCACTTATACCCCCTTCTTTACCAGGCCAATTTTCAGCTTTCAGCGCTGTCGCACTTTGACAATTGCGCGGTCATGCAACATTGTACCCATATGAAATTTTTTTATCTTTTTTTTCCTCACAAATAGAGTTTTCTTTTGGTGGTATTTAATCGCCGGAGGGCACTTTATTTTTTGCGCTATAAACAAAAACAGTGCAAAAAAAAAAATGTCTTTTGTTTCTATTATAAAATTTTTCAAACAGGTAATTTTTTTCCTTCACTGATGTGCGTTGATGAGGCGGCACTGATAGGCGGCACTAATGAGGTGGCACGGAGAGGCGGCACTGATAGGCAGCACTAATGAGGTGTCACTGATAGGATGCACTGATTGGCGCAACTGCTGGGCACTGACTGGCACCACTGCTGGGCTGCACTGGTGGGCACAGGTGGGTGGCACTGCTGGCACAGGTGGGTGCTGGTGGGTGGAACTGCTGGGCATTATCAGGTGGGTGGAATCAGGGGTGGGGCACTGATCACTGCTGGGCACTGATCATCAGGGCACTGATCATCAATGCCCTGATGATCGGTGCCGATCCCTGCTCTGACAACTGCCGGTTCTCGGCAGTACTTTCCTCACGCTCTGACAGTGTGAGGAAAGTGCAGCCGAGAACCGGCAATTGCATTTCCCAGTGATCAGCGTGTCATTTGGACACGGCTGATCACGTGGTAAAAGGCTGCGTGATCATGGGGGTGTGCAGGAGAGCACGTTCTGGGAGGATGTCATATGATGCCCTCCCAGAACTGGCTGGCTGCAGTGTAGTCTTCATTCGGCTATCTGTGGTTGGCAAGTAGTTTAAAGGATAAGTTCACCTTTTTAGACAAAAATAATAAATGCACATATTTTTATTTTTTGCAGGTAAAATGTGCATTGAATATTTTTGTCTGTAGGAGCCTGGAAAGCATGCACCAGCAATCAGTAGATTGCTGATGCCATGCAGGTCTCCTGCAGACCTGTCAGAATATCTGCTTGCCATACAGGAATATATGAGCAAGTAGATATACTGACAGGAAGCTTCAATGAACTATCATGGCACTCCACAGTGCCGTGGTAGTTCATTGAAAACTACAAGCTGACAGCCGCTATGGCTATCTGGACTTTCAGTTCATTCATTCATAGAACTCTGTGAATGAATGATGAGGCCATGTGGGCATAGCCCCACACGGCCATACTGTTTTCAAATTTGCCAGTACGAGGGGACTTCTCCCCATACTATCTATCTGCCAGAGGAAGGGGGGCAGTGGGCAGCATCTGCGGCTATGGGAACATGTTACACGTTCCACCCTAATTACAGGTGGAACATGTTCCCAAAGGTAAATTATTCCTTTTAAAAAAAAAAAAAAAAAACTGCAATTGTCGCACCGGCAGGGGACCCCAGAAGAAGAGGATCGGACCTGCTCTGTGCAAAACCAATGCCCAGAGCAGGTAAGTATGACATGTTTGTTATTTTAATTAAGCTAAAAAAAAAATGTAGTTTCGCTTTAACTCCAAATCCCTCTTTCCCAAATGTAGCCCCAGTTGTCCTTTTTTTGGTTTGTGTATATCTCTACAACAAAATACATTATTTTACTACCGAAAGTGTTATGCTGCACCAAACTTTTTATCTGACCTCCATATTGCTACATTAGTTATATTGAAAAGCCAATATAAAGCCTAGAGGTCAATAAGGTCTGGTTCACACCTCTGCGCATTGCAATTGATGCATTTCTGACTCGTTTTGCTTTTTGATGAATTTTTGATGCATTGTGTGTGTGTGTGTGTGTGTGTTGTTTTTTTTTTTTCTGGCCAATGGGAAAGTATTGACTTTGATGCCATTTTAGATGGGTGCGACTTGAATGTGACTCAGATGCAACTTTGGATGGTCGCGACTTTTGTGCAACTTTGATGTTACTTGAGTGCCAAAGGGTATAAAGTTGCATCAAAGTCACACCATCAAAAGTTGTATCAAAGTCGCACTCATCCAAAGTCTCATCAAAGTCAATACTTTCCTATTGGCAACCCCCCCCCCCCCCCCTTATAAAAACACACTACATGCATTTCTGTCACATGTCTATATTGAACCAAAAACACACCATATTGCATTTAATAAGTCCCTGACCCTTTCCAAAAACACAGCGGCTGCAAAAGATGTGAATGTGTCCCATAGGAAACCATGATATATGGACTGACTATAGTGCATTTCTGCAAAATGCACTAAAAAAAAAAAACCACAGGTGTGAACCAGGCCTAAACCACTTATTGGTTTTTATTGCCTAAACCACTTATTGGTTTAGCCAATTATTGCGGCATATTAGATCTTTCTGGTCTTGATAACCAGGACTGTGGCAGAAATGTGTCCTTGCCTACATATTGTAGGGCCCTGAACCCCTTGTGTATTGTTACTGTACTGTCTCGTGTACTGTCTCCCATTATGTACAGCGCTGAGCAAACTGTTGGCGCTATATAAATATTGTACAATAATAATATTGTGTGCTAAATGGTGTCCCTTTTTTTTATATGATTTCATAAAGTTGGGAGGTATGGATGAGTAACCTCACTGTGCTGCTTCTCCCTCAATACTGAGTAACCAAACTTTGGGGTAAATCCTAGCCCAGGTTATGCTACTACTTTACTGGAGATTGAGTATCTGCATATGCTTTCTGGAACGAGTGTTGAATCACAAGACTGGCTTAACGTTACTACAAATCCTTTAGAACATAAACCGTTCACATAAATGTACTTCAGCTGTGTACTTGCTAATGTATGAATACATTGGAAGTTATGTGAGCCCACACACATTTATACATTTCTGAGGTTCTGTCTAAACATAGATCAGTTTAGGCATTATTGTTTAATCCTTGTTATAAACTTTCCAAAAAAAAACTCTTTAATGTTAAACATAGATCAGGTTGTAACATTTTAGAATGCTTGGAATGGCTTTGATGACCCATTTATTAGAAGTAATACCTCAAATACTGCTTATGAGAATCAGGCCACTTCTGTTGCCTTTTGTGGCATTTGGAGATGCCCATTATCACATAAAAACACCAGGCAGATTTCTCTTTACTTGCTAGCCTGGTACAGGAAGAAATAAAAAATCTCCCTAGTACACAAACAGCAATTAAAACCGAGAGTGAGGAATTTATCAAAACTGAAGCAGATAGAATCTTGAGCATCTGTGCATGCAAACCAACCAGCTTCTAGCTTTAGCTTGTTGATAAAGTTTTGAAAATGAAAGATAAAAGCTGATTGGTTGTTATGCACAGCTGTTCCAGATTCTGTGTATTTGATCAATTCTCCTAAACGTTTCAAACCCTTCTCCTCTATAAAAAAAAAAAAAAAAAAAAAAAAAGTTTTGTCAGAAGTTGGGTGTCTGAAAACAGGAAAATGCCATCCTCAAGGTTAATGGGCCTGTCTTCTAATCAGATCCAATCCATTTCCCATTCTAGCTAGAACTGAAGAGAGTTTGTGTGGAGTTGGGCTTTAAAGGCAATGTATTGTCCCCCCTATTGTACAGCGCTGAGCAAACCCTTTGGCGCTATATAAACTCGTCTAGTAGTAATAATAATAATAATAATAATAATAATAAAGGCATTTGGCAACATAATGAATTTGCCTTTTTGTCTTCTTACGATTTAGTTTAGTGTCTTCTTTTATATACTTCCCCTTTTCCACACAGTTCATGGTTACTACACAGGGCCCTTGAAATGAATTTAGCAGAAGCCTTGTAATTAGTTCTTGCCCAGTATTTGGCAGCACAGCACTATTACAGAGCAGAGAACTGTTTGATTGAAATATGATTTTAATGAGGTTTCATAAAGTTTAAACCATTGCATACATTCAGGGGTACACTGGATGGAAAGCAGGGTTACCTACACTTATCATTAGATTATAAGAATAGCCATTCTTTGGGTTAAAGCAGAGGTCTCCAGACTTTCTAAACAAAGGGACGGTTTACTGTCCTTCAGACTTAAGGGGGGCTGACTTGTGGCCATTGGGAGTAGAAAAGGTCCCAACGTCAGTGGGAATAGACCGCTCCCCATCTTTGGTGTCAGTGGGAGGAATTTTGCCGCATCAGTGGGAGGAATTTTGCCGCATCATTGGTGTCATTGAGCCCCATCATTGGGAAGAAGTGTGCCCCATTATTGGTGTCATTGATAGCAGGGGTGGACTGACCGTTTGGAAACTCGGGGTCAGTAGGGGGCCCCATGAGATGCCCCTGGTACCTTTTTTTTCTTCATAGGCTGACCATGAGGTGTCAGTCCGCCCCTGATTGATAGGCATTGTGCCTAATCACTGGTTTCTTTGGGAGGTATTCTGCCTATTCATTGGTGTCAGTGGGGGGAATTATGCCCCATTGTTGATATCAGTGGATGAAAATAGTGCCTCAAGGGCCAGATAAAAGCAAGCAAAGGGCCACATCTGGCTCTCAGGCTGCAGTTTGGAGACCACTGGGTTAAAGGAAGCCTATTATGCAAAAGCCAAAGATTTGTTTTTGGTGAAACTGAAAAAACTTAAATGTCGTGTATAGTGACTCTTTCAAGTACCTCTGTGTGAAATATAGCCATACTTTATCTGCTGCAAATATTCCCAAAACAGCTAATGTGCACACTATCATACTTTTGTCATATGTCTGTCTAACATGATAAGCAGCCTGTTTTTTACTTGATAAGGACAGCTGATTCAATGCAGACACAACCTTGAGAACCTCATCCTAAAAAAAAAAGTAAAGAGGTAGTGTGTTAAATACAAATAGCCTGTGTTATGGCTGCTTCCAACAATAGTACATTAGACAATAACACAGTTTACTGTATCTACATTTGCAGTAACCTAATACAGTTGGTGTTAAAACCAGCCATATATGGAGAGATTTTGTTTCCTGCAACCACGGGTTACAGGAAAGAAAATTGTTGGAATCCCTCTTGCAGAGCCATTGTGTTCTCTCAGCGGGATGAAAGGAGGGGGGGAGGCAGGGAGCCGTCCCCACCAGGAGATCACATTTACACAATAGCCGCTAGCAATAATTGCATGTAAAATCCAGAAGGCTGGTTGTACCCAAGTTGATAGATCCATCATGTTGGGTACATTCAGACTGCTCATACATGGTTCAAATCTCAGCCTATCCTTGATGAACTGTCCAAGATTCAAACCATCTATGGCTGGCTTTCATTTATAACTTTTATTGTAATCTGTTTCACTAAAATAACTACAAAAAACCCATCAATGTTTTTTGAGTAAAACTCATACTGTATATACAAGTAAGAAAGAACAAACTGGGCAATATCCAGCTAGTAGGAGGTTTTGTGAACTCAGCGGGAAGTCTGCAAACCTCAAACATAGCCTTGAACCCTATTTGTGTCTTTAGGAGCTATTTCAATGCTAATTTGCAAGCTTTTGTAAAAAAAAAAAAAAAAAAAAGGACCTGGGTAGCTAGGCACTGCTATGTTGGACAATATACAAATGAAAATTTAAAAAAATAATATAGCAATCCTCTAGATTCATGTAGTCTTAATATGGGTAAAAATATTTGAAAAAAATAACTGATTTCATGTGTGTAGTACCCTATTAGTTGGAGTATGGTCTGCTAGGTACATTTTAGCATGGCTTTTCTGTAGCCAGTTGAGCAGTTGCTGATGGCTTTTGCCTGCTTAGTGTTTCACTG